TTGGCTAGATATACTCTACACATAAATGAGAGATTATGAGTATAGAGCTATAAAGTTAATATGGAACTTTTCACCCAGATAATTTGGTGTTGGAACAAAATGATGAAAATTGGCAAATCTGAGCAAAGTTTGCAACATTAAGATCTCTTCTGAAATCTCTTTCTAGATACACCTGTATACACCAAATAATTCTACACCAGAAGCAGAAGAACAAATGCTCCATTTAATCTTATTGCGGTCCAAAACATAGTTTTCATTTGTGTTTCTCTCTCTGTACAAAATACTATTATATAGTCAATATGATTAAACATTTAAAATTGAATTTAAAAAAATGGATTTGATTTTCTATCCTTAAATCTAACCATCACACTAATTTATTTAGACATTTATTTTCTAATAGTTTCTGTTTTATTTTGATGTTTACTGAAAGTTTTGCGGGGGGGTTTTTCACACAATCAAATGTCCTAACAAGTGGAGGCAATTTGAAATAAGAACTGTATCTCTACACACACATATATATGAAGCCAGTTGTTTCAAAGCATGTTGTGGTGTTGTGGATCATATTCCTTGGCCTCAGGCTGGTCTTCAGTATGTTGAATAGTAGTGCTGGATGCCAGTTTCCTCACGTTTGGCTTGGAACAGTGACAGGTGGTGGATCCCAATAAGCATCTCATACCCACCTTGAGCCAAAATGGCTCCCGTTGAACTCTGGAAAGACAGTACAGTTTACCCTGCCTCAAGCTCCAGCTTCCATCAGCCTTTGCCAGGCTGAACATGATGAGCGTTACTGGGATCACAGTCTTCTTTTTTTATAGTCTGTGTTTACACTCTGCTGAGAGGCGTGAAAACTGCTCGATTTCCACAACCGTATTTTCACGTGCTGTTGTAGCCAGAGTATTGATATCTTGAGAGAAGTTCAGAAGTTCATTGTTTCCATGTTGTTGAGTCACATTGAAAGGTTAAGAGTGCCGCTCACAATATGGACACTTTCCAGCAACTGTAATAAAGACTTCAGCTTCAGATTTATATTTATTAAATGAATAAGTGGACCCTATTCATCTCATTTTGATTTGGCTGGCGGCCATGTCACAGATCCAAGCAGGGAAGGCATGGATTTTAGGATAAAATGTATATATTTCTTTAAGGAAAGACACATCTAGCCACTGTTTCCTTTAATTTCTTGAGCCTTTAAAATAATATTTTACCTTCACTTATTCATTGTGGCTCTGTTGCCCCAAACTTTGTACATTTAAACACTTTTGTCAAGTATTGTACTACCATGGCATGGTACTACCAAGTGCCTAGTATGTGAATATGGTAACTATTTATTGACTATGGTAATTATTTCTGGGGGCAGTCCCTGGGAGGTCAAATATAAGATTTTAACTGAAAGGGTGAACTGTGTTCTCAGGTCAAGGGTATTTTTTTTTAAGCCGGGGCAAGCTGTACAGTTTATTAATTAATTTATTAATTAATTAATTTGTGCTGGCCACTTTTGTGTTAACTTTTACATGTTTGCTGTTTCATTGTGTTTACAGTTCAAATTCTGAAAAGCCTAGAATAGTGTCTATACTGTAATAAAAAATGAAAAAAACTATCCACAGTATCCCATTTAGGCTATCAAAGTAACATGGCATTACCATTTAATATTGACTGTACCACAAAGTACACTTAAAAAAAATATATATATATATAAATGAAATGTTCAAAATAACACCATTTATTTGAAATAGAAATCTAATGTAACATTATACATGTCTTTACTGCCACTTTTGATCAATTAAAGGCATCCTACTGAATAAACATATTAAATTCTTTAAAACAGAAAATAATTACTGACCCTAAAATTTTGAACTGCAGTGTACTGTTTAGTAAACAGTACAGTTCAAAATTTTAGGGTCAGTAATTATTTAGTAAGGGACATACTGCATGTATTGTTTTTTATTATGCAGATGTTGTGTTTATGGGATTCACGGCTTCATTGTGTTTCATAAAGCTATCGCACCCTATCTTTGTTTCTTTGTTGTGATGAATAGAGTAGGATAGACACACACATGCATGCATTAAATTAAAATGAAATGTCTTTTATGATTTACCTTTCATGCTTTGATGAATATGCAGTGAATACTGTATACATTATAATCAGCAGCTGTTGAAACAAGAAAACAAAAAAACAAAAATGAGACAAAATAGAGATCCTGTTACACTAACTGAGCTAAGTGACACGCATTCAGAACAGCAGGGAGACTTGACAAATCCAGCCTGCAGCATTTCACACCATTTCTTCCATCATTCCTCAACACTCTGGCAGGATTCAAGGGTAATTGGCCGACTTTTCAAGAGCTTGTCAATGCTTTTTTAAAATGCTGAATGTAGTGCTGTCATACAGAGACACAAGCTGGGTATAGTAGAGTTTTACTACTTTAATGTTAAAATGCCCTCATCAAAGGAGAATGCACATATATATTATTTAATTATTGCTTTAATTAGTCATGTAATTAGGTTAGCCAGAGGGCACATATACCCCAGTTTTGTTTATGTATGAATGTGTGTGCATTCATCCTTTGTTGATTTATTTTAGTTTTTTAATAAAACCCAATAAAACTTAAACTTAATATGTTAGGCTATATTAAGGATTTTTGCCGCCCCCGAATTGCCGCTAATTCGAAGCGAAAGTAAAATGTAGTTAGTGGATGTTGGGGTTTTCCCATCTTCTCCAACTCGCTTTTAAAATTCTTATGAATGCCCATATGGCTGTGCTCATTTTACTTTCACTTCGAATTACCGGCAATTCGGGGGCGGCAAAAAAAAACATAATATAGTCTAACATATTAAGTTTAAGTTTTATTAGGTTTTATTAAAAATAAAACTTTATTTTTTATAATTATTCCAAAAGAGAGAGACCTTAGGGATGGATAGCCCAGTAAGGTGAAGGGGGAAAAAACAGTCTGTCCATCAGTCCAAAGCCTCCTAGTGGGAATTGGATTGACAACTACTGTACATGGCTTTATATTATAGCCTACTTACAGGGAAGACACCCACATAGTTCCAGTCTCCAGACCCAGTGAAATTTGGCAACAACCCTGGTCAATCTGAGATGAGACGTGTTTGAATGCTGATGCAGGATCTGTGTGCTGAAAATCAAGGCTCTTGCCATGCAGATTGTGGTCTCACTTGAGAACCACGGACTACCCATCCTCCCTGGATAGTGTGCACTAATACAAACACACACCCTAGTCCTAATGAGACTGAGACCCACACTGCTGGGGTTGTTATGGCAACAGCTCATCAGAGAGCGTAGACCCCGGGGTCAATGGGTTATTATGGGATGTCTGAAGCGGGAGGAGAGGTTTCATCATCTAGCCATGCGTTACATTTCTTCATTCTTTTCCCCTGGAGGATCAAGTGATTAAAAAAAGTGTTTATTTTTAGTCTTATTATAATGGCGATACTCCGGTGGATCTTTTGTTTGGATTAACATCACGAGACCTTGAAAATCCACTACATTTTGTGCTTACAGCATAAAAAGCCTTCAAAGGTCTGTTAAGATAATGCAAAATTTGAGTATGTTGGCTGTCTGCTTTAGTGGCATTCAAGGAAAAATCTTTAAAAAATGAAAGAAAAGAAAAGTTCAAATTAAAACTGTTAACCGACATCATGTTTCTTATTTTAATTTATCTTATCAAGATTTAAGTATATACAGATATTATAACCCACACTTCTTAACTATTTAAACTGTTACATAACTTTGTTATTATTATTTTTTTTTTTTACAAAATATCATGAATCAATCAATAAATATCATTGTATCTGGGAAGTCACACCACATGACATTTTTTGCAACCTGAAGTAGCATTGCCTGTCATAAAAAAGGTCAAATTATCTGATAATTTCAAAATATTTATTGACCTTGACAAACAGTCATGAGGCTTTTATGTTATTTTTCCTGTTTTATGTTTCTGCGTGGTTGTTGCACCACATGACATGTTCCAAGAAGTGAAGTTGAAGCTTTAGCCTTTATTATAAACTGCCACAAAATGACAATCCCACCCCTGTTTCTTTGATCAAAATCTCTCCATCTCATCTAGTGTGATCTGTGGCAGATCAAGTGAGAATTTCTTAATTTGTTTTTCGGTCCCCTGGTTTTCGAGATTGATTTGACATTATGAACCCCTAATCTTCAATCTAATTTCAAGGCCAATAAAAAGTAAAACAGAAAGAAAGAAAAGGAAACATAAAGAAAAGGGCTCCAGGACAAGTTTCAGGAATGAGTTGTGAAAGTTCCCAGGGGAAATTAGGCATACCGTGAGTTTCTAGTACAGACCAGGTTATACTGTTATTAACCTAATCAGTTGAGGAGACCTGACTGGACCTAAGATGCTGCCTAAATTTAGTGTGCCATCACTGAGGGGTTTTCTCAGAAGCAGAGAATCTGGAGTAAAGGCTGGATGCAGGTCATGTGTCTTCTCACTTTGATAATCTGAGCTACATTTCCCAAATTAACTCTGATTGTTGATTGAATGATAAATACATTACACGTTTATATTGGAACTCTGTCATGTTAATGCATTGTTCTAAAGTGTCAGGCTCTTTTATTAGATTTGAGAAAATCAATAAAGCGAAACTATATATTCTAGATGATTATAATGTTTGAACCGATGAGGTTTTGGTGTCATGGTGTTTTATATATATACGATATACCAAAAGAGTCGATAAGATTTTTTTAAAAAGTTTGTCTCTTATGCTCACCAAGGCTGCATTTATTTGATAAAAAATACATGTTTTCTATTGTAATATATTTTAAAATGTAATTTATTTCTGTGATGCAGAGCTGAACTTTCAGCAGCCATTACTCCAGTCTTCATTGCCACTTCAGAAATCATTCTAATATGCTAATGCTCTATCACGTTTATACATTTTATATGTTATATGTGTATGTTTGGGCATATACGTACATATACCATTCTTTGAAACTTTCATCTTGTTCCTTATGTTTGTAGGCGCTGGCGACTGCTGCGGAGAAACTGCAGATGGAACACCAGTGGAAGGATGACCTTGACGTAATGCTTCACACATACACATTTTATAAACACTCATACACATACACACAGGTGGAAAAAAATAAAGCTGCAAAACTTTTGCCCGGGAATGTTTTCATTCAGTTCTTTATTAGAGAACAACAGATAGGCCTACCTGACATATTTACACATGCCATCACCTCAATTAAGAGATAATCAATAGGGCTGTTAAAAGTTGGCATCCTGATCTCAGACCTTGCGTCTGTTGTATTGATGCATTTCAGGTTCCCACGGACTGAAATATCAATTCTAATTTGCAGAGGAATGGATGTGATGTCTAGTTGTCTGTTATAGATTTGTCAGTCATTTACTGGTCAAATGAGTCATCCAGATTTGTATCGCAGCAATATTTAATTTCTAAATCAGACTGAGGGAGATTCACTATTTGACGTACTTTTAACATACAAAAAGCTCAGTTTTAACCCCAAATTTTGTTTATGCAGTGGTTTTAATCTGAATGTAAACTAACAGCATCCTGATTATAGAAGACCTGCCTATGACGTCAGTCCGTTTTGAGAGATAGTGAGGAAAAGTGTGTTATTGGTGGAGCCTTTTGATTCGATCACCTCCATATATTACCTTAATACTGCATAAAATATTTTGGCAGTACCACATAGTACAGTAATATACAGTATATGATACTGAATGATTAGGATTTACACACATTTGATTTCTTTATTTGAATCCGCCAATCAAATTTCTTACAGAAAGGGTTCAAATATTCTCAGAGATAACACAGCTTTGACATTCAAGGGTACATAAAGCATCTCTTACGCCACACAGCGAGGCTGCCTATCACAGCAGATATAGAGCAAAATTTTGCCAGCTGTTTAGACTTTCCTTTTGGTAGCCCTGCCAGTCTCAGTCCACTAACAGCCGATTTGTGGACATGTCCCAGGCATATATTACCTTAATACATAAAATATTTTGGCAGTACGACATAGTACAGTAATATACAGTATATGATACTGAATGATTAGGATTTACACACACACACACACACACACACACACACACACACACACACACACACACACACACATTAGGACAATGCTTTTTTTTTTACTTACACTTTTTTTTTCATCAGGGTTTCTGTGGGTCCTTAAGTATTAAAAAAGATAAGATCAAATTTAAGGCCATAAAAAGTCATATATATATATATATATATATATATATATATTGTATCTGGCTGCTAATTAAACGTTAAAATTAAAGCTATTTTAACATTAATGGCTGTATGTTGAGTTATTTTCAGAGGACAGTAAATATGTACTGCTATACAAGCAGCACATTGACTACTTCAAAATATATACAAGTTTCATTTCTATAGTATTGTCCCTTGAGTAGATATACTAAAATGTTTGCTAAAATGTGAGGGGTGTACTCACTTTTGTGAGATACTGTTTATATTGAATAAAACCTCTCTTGATTATTTTAAATTTGCGCTCCAGCCTGAATAATAAAGTAAAAGAATCTGAGATAAATTATTTATTTTGAGATTGCATGTTTTTATTTTGTAAGGACATACGATATTAATTTTACTAAAAAATATTAATGCTATAATAGTACATAAGTAATACTAAGCAGCACTTAAAATTAATTATTTGTTTTTAATGTTGTCCTTTTTATTTATTTACACGCAATAGTATTTTAATTTTAATATTAATTTTGTAGTAATTTTAATATTGCACATTTCTAATTTACATTACTTCCAACATATTATACATAAGATGTTACACTCGGGGCCATTTCTAGGCAAAACACATGTGTGCGCCTTTGTGTTCAAAAGTCCATCCTGCCTGCAGCTGTCACGACAGGTGCTTCTCTTCAAGCGTTTGTTATGGACACAATTGCTGTGTTACTGCTGACAGACAGAGAGTTTTTCTTTTGAATTATTGATGGGATGCTGGTGCCAACCGTGTTAAAGACACAACCTACAAGGTCAAGCGTTTGATCCCATGTAGAGGTGACCTGTACGTGCATGTCTCAGCAATCAGTGTACTATAACCTAAAAAGAGTGTCTGCCACATGATTAACAAGCAAGTAGGACAGGTGGCGGCAGCCGGTGATGATCCACTTCTATGTCTCCAAGGCAACTGTATGTCAGATAGTGAGCTCGCTTGTTAACGCCCCACTAATGCTAGTCCTGACAGCGCCCTCACACTGTGAGGAGAACAACCCTTGGAGAAGACACACACACACACACACATCTATATTAACAGGGGACTATCGCTCTACACTGGCCAAGAGGGGACTAGTGTTTCTGGTCATTTTGAAGAAAAATTTTCTTTTAAGGTCTTTTTTCATAATATAACTTTAAATATGCATTTTTTTATAAAAAAAAAAAAAAAAAAAAACATGCCAAGAGGGGACCTGCATCTCTGACCGATGACTAATGGCTCGTTTCCACTGAGGCATACGGTACGGTACGGTACAGTACAGTACGGGTCGGGTCGGTACAGCATGATCCGGCTAGCGTTTCCACTGCCAGGAGTAGGCTACCCTTACTTGATAGGCGTGGTGTTTGCCGGAAAGAAGCGATCGACGTCAGAAAGCGACATAGTAAACAACAATGGATGACAGACAGCAGATCTTGTTCTTGCTTCTCGGCATGTTTGTCACAAGTAACAAGCGCTGGCATTACGCGTTTCTCAATACCAAGTAGCCACGCAAAGTCCGACTCAGGAGAATGACTCCCGAGGACGCGTGTCCAGTAATTCTGCTGATGGAACAGCGCGTTCTTGAAAGCGCCACTCAGCTCGCTCTGCTACTCCGGTTATGTACATTTTAGGCAACAATAAAACGAAATATGTTACAAAATACCACTCTGCTTCTTTTCGATTTAATTTAAATACATTTTAAACATTATAAGGACACAAATGTGGTTCGGGCAACGCATAGCCTATTGATTATATTCACTGCATGTATGTAACGTTATATTTATAACAAAACTAAATATAAAACACAACCCTGCCTCTTTTCGTTTAAATTAAAAAAAAAAAAACATATTCCAGGCAATGTATTGCATATTGCATCGGTACAAAATGTTGCAATAAACAACATTACACATGATCTTGTAATAAATAAAAAAAAGACAAAACTATTGTAGCAAGTCTAAAGACGGTTTATGTTCAATATGTAGATGCATGTATTTTCTTTCATGTGTTATGTGTTCTGGTTGTGTGGGGCTTTAAAGGGTTAGTTCGCCCATTTAAGACATGAAGTTGTATGCAATCCTTACCAGCACTATAGTGCATACACACTGACCCACTCTGTTGTCACCTCCCTGGTCAGAGTTCTGGCCGCTGGAAGTTTTTCAATAAAGTACTCCCGGTTATTTTCCGGTGCCACAAAACTGTGCGTTTTTACGTGAAAAAATGATTTGTGTTTCAAAGCTTGATTAATTTACCACACAAAAAACACGCCGGTCAAAATTCATACCTCAGTTTTAATCGGCACTATTTTCTATCCATTTCTATCAATCCGCGCTGCTGTCAACGTCAACAGTGCGCACGGTTCCTTCCTCGGCGCGGGCCGTCAAGCTGAAGCCCCGCGGAGACCCGCCCCCTTTTTCTCTGAGGTCCACGAGGAGCTCACCAGATCATGGCGCTCCCCTTACTCAGCCCGAGCCCATGCACAAGGTACCCAGCTGCTGACTACAGTGGAAGGGGCTGAGAAATTAGGGTACGCTCGGTTGCCTCCCGTCGAGGATGCCATCGCGGCTCATCTGGCGTCTTCTCCTGGCTGGAAGACCGCCCAACTGCCTTCCAGACCATGTCGCGCTACTGCCCACATGGCTGAGAAGGCTTACACTTCTGCTGGACATGCAGCATCTGCCCTCCATACGATGGCAATTCTGCAGGTTTTCCAGACGCGACTCCTAGGGTCCCTGGATGAGGGAAGCCCGGACCCTGAGTTGCTCAGGAAACTGCGCACGGCGGCATATCTCGCTCTGTCAGCGTCTAAGAAGGTCGCTCAGGGAATCGGCCGCAATATGGGCAGTCTTGTGGCCCTGCATCGCCATCTGTGGCTAACGCTGTCGGGGATGCGCGATACTGACAAAAGGCAGTTCCTGGACGCTCCGGTAAGCCCCACGGGCCTTTTCGGTGTTGCGGTGGAGTCGTTATCCGACAAGTACGCAGAGACCGTCAAGCAGTCTAAAATGATGCCTCATCTGCTGCCGAAACGGTCTCAAGCCCCCCCGGCGGCGAGATCCAGATCTTCCTCTGCGCAGCGCCCTGCGGGACCTACCAGACGCGCGCCCCCGAGCGCGGCAGAACGTCGCGAGCCAGAGCCCCCCTTCCGCCAGAGGCAGTTCAGGAAGCAGCCCCGCTTCGGTGCGAAGCCGGCCTCTAGTAGCCAAGGACGCCCGGCGGGCAAAAAAGAGCGGCATTCCTGATGCGTGTGTCGGGGAGGAGAGAGCGCGGGACGTGTTCGTCGGACCCGCTGCAAAGAGGGTGTGTTCCCGCCCAGAGTTCGACGAGAATGTGTTGATTTTGAAACCGCTGTGTTCTGTTTCAATAAACAAAGTGCATTACATGTCTCAGCAAAAGAGCTTTCTTCCTCTCAACACCCGCGCCATAAGCGAAACCTCTCCCCCGGGAGACGTTTCGCAGAGCGGAAGCTCGGGGAAACCCGAGAAGGTGGCTATTTATGTTGTCGTGCAAAGAGCCGCGGACGAGCCATCTGCCCTCCATGTAGCGGCCAATGCTTCCCCGGTGGCTGGCGCTCAGCCCCCGCCGCAGCATTCATTAAAGCCCCCCCTATCGAGTCACCTGGGTGCGTGGTCGACACTACCGACGGCATCACTGTGGGTGTTAAACACGATAAAACGCGGCTATACGCTCCAATTCGCTCGCAGACCACCCCGCTTCGGCGGTGTGATTTTGACAGAGGTGTCAGAACAGAGCGCCCCGTTACTTCGGGAAGAAATCTCCTCTCTCCTGGCCAAACAAGCAGTAGAGACAGTTCCCGAAGAGCGG